CTGGGTCTGTGGATCGAGTCGCTCCAGTTCCCTTCCACGTGGCCACCCACGGGGCTCAGGCCACGTTCTCTGCGAGGAGGTGGGAGCATTTTAAGAAAGCAACAGCAGGGGCTGCCGGGCTTCTGGAGGCTGAGGCTCAGGCGTCACACAAGGTAACTTCCACCCCATTCTTTTGGTCAAAGTGAGTCCTGGGCCAGCCCAGATCCAAGGGGAAGGGATCCCTGATTCCCCCTTTTGCTGGGAGTAGGGACGGGTGTGACCAAGGGGGAAGGAGTTATTGGGGACCTCTTTGCAAACAGTCCATGGAGTGATTTTGTCTGTCTGAGAGGTGAACTGACATTGACAACCAGGCTTGGCCGAGGGAGAGCCTGTGGCTGATGGAATGGCCAAATATCCCCTATTTCTTGTCTGGCCTTGACTCTGGAGGGTCAGGTTGGCTTTGATGCAGATATCACCTCCTCCCAATCAAAAGGGCCGCTGGCATCTGTGCCCGTGCTGGGGTGACGAGAGATCCCATCGCCCTGCCGCAGCCACCACTCTAACTGCCTCGCAGATGTCCACCTTCTGTCCATCTCCACGGCTGCCCACCCGGGCCAGCTCATCACTTCTTGCCTGAACTTTGCAGTGGTTTTCTAACTACTCCCCTGGTTTAACTGTCCCTTCCTCTGGGACATTTTGGTGATCTTACTGGGTAATTAAAAACACGTCCTGTGGGCGGCAGACTAATGCTCTCCCGCCACCACGTCCCATCCCAGTCCCTGGGATCTGTGACTGTGTCACGTGGCAAAGGGGACTTGAGGTTGCAGATGGAGTTAAGGCTGCTCATCGGCTGACCTTGAAATGGGGAGATTATCCTGGATTATCCAAGTGGCCCCTTGTAATCAAAAGGACTCTTAACAGTGGGAGAAGGAAGCGGAACAGAGGCATAGGGAGAGTGACATGTGGAAGAACAGTCAGAGAGACGCAGCGTCGCCGGCTTTGAAGACGCTGGAATGGGGTCATGAGCCAAGGCAGGGGGCAGCCTTGTAAAACTGGAAAAGGGTGGGACGGATTCTCCCCTGGAGCCTCCAGAAAGGAATGAGGTCTGATGACCCCTTGATTTTAACTGAGTGAGACCTGTGTTAGGCTTCTAACCTACAAAAGCGTAAGATAGTCCTGGCCGGTGTGGCTCAGTTGGTCAAGTGTCGTCCTGTGCACCAAAAGGTTGGCGGTTTGATTCCCAGTCAGGGCACCTGCCCAGGTTGTGGACTGGATCCCCAGTAGGGGGCGTGCAGGAGGCAGTGGATTGATAATATATTCTTGCATCAATGTTTCTCTCTCTCCCTTTCTCTCTAAAAATCAATAAAAACATATTTTTAAAATGTATAGGATAATAAATTTAAAGCACCAAGTTTGTGGTGATTTTTATAGCACTAGTAGAAAACCAATACATATCCTCAGGCAATTCATGAGCTCACCCACTGCAGACGCCCACAGAGGGGTGAGGAGNTTTGTGGTGATTTTTATAGCACTAGTAGAAAACCAATGCATATCCTCAGGCAATTCATGAGCTCACCCACTGCAGACGCCCGCAGAGGGGTGAGGAATGGGGTGGCGGGGGGTGAGCGGAGAGGTGGGGCGAGGTCCCTGGATGGGGCCTGGACGAGGAACTGTGCACACTTATCAACAATAAACGGTGATTTTCACTGTAATAGAGGCATTTCCATGCAGCTATGTTCAAATAGCTACTTCCAAGTCAGAAAATGCCCACCATCAAATTGGCTATGCAAAAAAGCTGTTTAAAATCAGCTCCTTCAGAATGTCTGGCCTGAAAAAATAGCTTATTCAACTTTCAGTTGAACTGAACTCTAAGCAGGAAGCATCCTAATGGGCCACTTCATCCATCACCATGACTTCAAGCTGATCCAGACCAGACGAGCTTGGTTCCTGGGGCCCAGCCCCTACCAAGACTTCTTCCAATTCACAAGGTCCACTCAGCTGGGACCAGCTAGCTTTTGAGCAGCTGGGAAAAATTCAGCTGCCATTATCATGTGCTAGATTCAGCTCAGAGCTTCCTTTTTTCATTTTGCCTTTTTCAGGCTCTTGGGGGTTATTTCTGGAGTCAGGGCAAACCCCATGAAGTTCTAGGGAACCATGACCAACAGGGGGAGGTAAAGAAAATTACCTCATATGGGCTAAGTAAAATAAACTCCACCCCGATAGGGCACTGCAGTTCAAGGCGAGTGAACCTGTATGTCTGAAGCAATGGGAAAGTATTCAAGTGTTGAATTGCAAAGCATCTGAAATTGCTTCCTAAATGGTCACCCTCTAACTCAGCTCCATCCCTACAATGGCTGGGATATTCCGTCCTCAAACACTCTCCTGCTGAAAGTAGACAAATTGAGAAGCTGCACAGACCAGAGTGACACCCCCAAGGGTCATGGATCTGGGCACATTGCTATGTCCCCTGCCACGTGGATTCAGGGAAGACTGAAGGCAGCTGGCCCAAGCTGGCTCCTCTCCTCTCTCTACTTTACGTTTAAAGTGCATTTCTTGTAGACACCATACAGTTGAAGCTTCTTTATCTAGTCTAACAATTTCTGCTTTTTAATTGGAGTATTTAGGCCACTTGTATTTAATATGACTATCAAAATAGTTGTGCATAAACCTATAAGCCTACCATCCTCTTGCTATTTGTTTTATGTCTATCCTGTTCATTATATTTGTTTTCCTCCCTTCCTGCTTTCTTCTGATTAATTTTGAGCATTTCATCTTATTTCCACAATTAACGTATTACTCATACATCTTTCTTGTAATTTTTTAGTGGTTACTATACAGTTTACGATTTGTGTGTTTAACTTATCACAGTCTGCCTTTAAATATTATATCACTCCATGTGTAATATAGGAGCTTTACAATAGTATGCTTCCATCCCCCCCCGCATATTTTCAATCGACACTCTACTTCTACATGTTAGAGATGCCACAACACACTGCTATTATTTTTGCTTTAAACAATTATCTTTCTAAATGTTTTTAAATCTGAAAAGAAAAAAAGAGGCTTTTTGTATTTGCTCCCATATTTACCATTTCCTGCACTCTTCATTCCTTTGTGCAGATCCAAGCTTCTGTCCAGTGTCATTTTCCTTTTCCCTAAAGAACATTAATATTTCTTGTAATACAGGTCAACTGGTGACACATTTTCTCAGCTAGGTGGATAGTTCTATCTCCCCCTGCCCCCCAGCTCTTTAAAGATATCATTCTATTTACATCATATTTTGCATATTTTGAGATGAGAAGTCTGCAGTCATTCTTCTCCTCCACCCCATATCTAATGTCTTCTTTTCCTCTGGCTGTTTTTATAGGTTTTTCAATCTGTTACTGACTTTCAGCCACATGCTTTGTGTGTGTGTGCACGTGTGTGTGTTCATCCTACTTGGAATTCATTCAACTTCTTGAATCTGTGGGTTATTATTTTTATCAAATTTGGGGAAACTTGGCCCTTATTTCTTCAAATATTTTTTTCATCCCTCCCTTTCTTCTCCTGGGATTTTGATTACTCATATATTGGATCACTTAATATTTTCCCACATGACACTGAGGCTCTGTTCATTTTCCCCCCAATATTTTTGCTTCATTCTGGATAGTTTCTACTGCCATCTTCACATTTACTTATTTCTGCAGTATATCATCTAATTTTAATCTAATCCAGTGAAATTCTCATTTCAGATACTGTTTTCTCTCCAAAAGTTCCATTTCTGTCTTTGAAACATTTTACTTTACATCCTTGGGCATATGGATCTAAAATCCTATTTCCATCATCTCTGTCATTTCTGAGTTGATCTCCTGACAGATTTTCCTCCTATTAATGAATCACATTTCCCTGCTTATTTGCATGTCTAGTAATTTTTATTAGCTGATGAACATTGTGAATTTTATATTTACTGCTAATTTTGTAGTATTTCTATAAAGAATGCAGGACACATTCTGGCAGGCAGCTAAGTCATTTATGAGTTGGTTTGATTCTTTCATGTCTTGTTTTAAACCTTTTAGAACAATTCTAGAGTACCTTTTATTTTAAAGCTAATTGAGCCACACTTCTAGTGCATGGTACCCCAGGATCTCTGATGAGAGCTCCACATATTCAACATGATCTGCACTCCGGCTGTGGGGGAACTTGAATGAATCCTGGCCTTGTTTGAACTCGGAATTGTTTATCTCACAGATCCTTGATAACTGCTATTTCCTTTGAGGATGTTCCTGCCCAGCCCATTAGGGTTTCACCTGACATATGTATAGATTGGTCTTTGGCCAAAGATGTAAGGGAACCACTATGCAGATTTCTGGAACTCTTCTTTTCTGGAACTCTGCCCTTTCTGTTCTAGCCCTTTGGCCTCCCCAACTCCAAATTCATTCTCCTTACCTCAGCAAGATTGCCAGGCTCTGTTTGGATGTACCCTTCCCTGTGATGCAGGCCAGAAATTGCCTCCAACATACTCAAAGGGGCTTCTAGGCCTATGTCTGCATAGTTCCCTCCTACAAATTCCAGCTACCTTTTCCTCCCCAAACTTATTATTCTCAGCTCAGCAAGACTTCCTGCAACACAGTCTAGAAAACGCCCAACTCAGAAAGCCTGGAAATCATTAGGCTTGTCACTTGTTTCTCTCCTCTAGGCTTAATTTTGTATTTCTTTCAAGGACATTAGCTCAAGAGGATTCGGTGGGAAAGCTTTCAGGGAGACAGGATCTGCTCCTCCTAGTCAGTCACTCAGTGTGATACACTTGTCACCCAAGAGCTGTACTGGGGCCCTCCAGGACACAGCCCACCCCTTTTGCTGGGGGCCTGGGCACCTCGACACTGCTGCCCACCAACCTTCGGGGGCACCTGGTCGACATCATGCAGAGGGGGCTTTCTGAAGAGGGTCCGCGCTGGTTTACTGGTAAGAATTCATTTCTCCTCTGTGTTCAACAGAACTGTCATAACAGGCTTCCTGGCCCCAGCAGAGGACCAAACAGACATGTCTAGAATATTTTAAATGGCTTTATTAAAGGCTATTAATATAAAATACAACCAAGTTACAAGTAGTCAGTAAGAACTTTCACTTCTGAAAACGTGTATCAAAGAAAGAGAGGCGCAAAGAAAGGGAGGCCGCTCTGACCTCCACTCAGGTGGGGGCTGTGAACCCCGCAGTTCCCAATGAGGGCGGCGCCCCCAGACCCAGAGACTGGGGGACGGACCCCCAGTGAAAGAACTCAGACTGGTTTCTGAACTTCTTGGGAGAGATTTTGCAAAAGACAGTCACCCAAAGCAAGACACTGAATCCTGAGCAGAGTCCCGGGTGCAGGGGGTGGGGGGAATCCAGAAACATACAGGCTTCAGCTGAAAAGGGTGTGTTTTAAAAATAACAAATAGAAACTCCTGGTTTCAGAAGCCCATCCTGATACACGGGGGGGAAAGAGATGGCAGACGCGAGAGCTCAATTTTCCCTAATTTGGATACACTGAAGACGGATTCCCAGGACAGGAGAGGAGCCCCCCTGTACTGGCTGCCACGGTTACGAGGACCCGCAGGTCAGGCAGGGTGCAGACCCCGAGCCAGAGTCCTCCAGGCCTTCGCTTCTCCCTCTCACGTTCCTTTACTTCCAAAAGCGGAGCAAAGCAACGCGACTTAGGTCTCCCTCCAGGATTCCCCAGGAGAACCTGAAGGGGCTACTGGGCTTTATGAGAAAGTGGGGGAGAAATGAGAATCGTCTCCCAGGAGAACGGACAGGTCACCTTGGGCTAACCGTCCCAGGACACAAATCCTTCTTCCCTGCTGCCACCACGGAGGGCTACAAACTCCGTCTGCACGTCTCCCTGTTTTTAAGGGACCATCTTTAAGCCTGGGTTCGACGACAGCTCACTGCCCTCGAGGCAGGGGGTCAGCCAGACTGGAGGCTCTGCAGCTGGCGGAGGCGCTGACCCCGGGATTTCTAGGATCCTTTCGCTCACCACCATGCTCGAAACCTTTCCTTTGTATAGTTCAACTACACTTAAATGGTACAGAAAGAACCTGTATTTGCCCCAATAAAGATGGTTAGCAAAGGAGGAAGGTTAAATCCAGTGTCCAAGGAGCCAAAGGAGGTTTAGGGACGTTAAGCAATTGGCAGGAACCAAACCAAACATTGGCTAAGCCACAGCTTTGGCAGAAACCTTCCTGGAAAAAACAAAAACGCTGCCACGTGCTTCACCTTGGAGCCAGATAAAATATTCTGGAAATCATTTCAGATTTGTCCTATGAAACAAAGAGGCATTTTTAACAACACACACTTGGATATTGAGACCAGGCGCGTGCTGGCAGGACTCGCTGGGATTAAGGCGTCAGGTGAGGGGAGCACAGTGAGAGGTGCCACGGATCACGCTTGTCGGGCACGTCCTGCAGGTTCACACAGCTCAGGGGCCATGGTCAGGGCACAGGCTCCCGGGGGAGGCCCGTATTCCTCCCACCCCGTCGGGGGGGCCACCCCAAAGGAGCAGCAGCAGGCAGCGAGGTCCCCACTCCAGGAGATGCTGTTGCTATGACCGCAGAGGGCTCCAGGGGGCGCTGCTGGGTCCGTGCAGAACCTGGACTCTTCCCCCTCTGCTGGAGGTCAGGGTCGGGGGAGGGTCGGTGGGGACACAGCTTGACCTGTCCTTGGAATAAAGGAGCCCTTTCTGTCCTCCGATGACACCTGCCATCAGCCCTTCCTCCTGCAGGTGCCCGGGACAGGGGACACCCACAGGCCACATAAGCAGCGAGGAACGTCCGAAAGGGAAAAGGTACAGACCCAAGAAAAGTGGTAGCCCTGCAACCGCTAAATCTAGATACAAAATAATGAAAAGTTAATACAAAACCTCTAAACATGCAATCTTAAACAACGATGAATAATATCAGGGCAGCTGAAAGGCGCCTCCGCCGTGTGTCAAGTCTGTTTCCTGGAAATGACGCCAGGGTGGAGGGTGGCACACGAGTCGAGAAGTGTGGCTTCACCGAGGGAAGCCCTGGACGGCTGGGAGTGCGGGGGGGACGCGTGGGGAGCAACTCTGTCCACGATCACCACCGGCATGCTGATGTCACCGTTGCTGAGGACATCACCAACCGTCGCCTATCAAAGGTAACCCCACGCATTGAAAAACGGGAGGGGACAGAGGAGGAGCTGGAAGTGACTTTTATGATTTTTGTGACGTGGAGAAGACCTCTGAGGAGGGAAATTGGTGCAGCTGGACCAGTTTTAGTTACCAGGTTTACTGAATTCCTAACAGTTTTTAAAAATTCCGAATGTAAAACTCCTGCTATCAAATCATTGAAAATAGCATATGTATCTGGTCTTACCAAAAGGGGAAAATCTAGAAATCTGGACAAGGCGATATTTACCAGTTCCTGAAAGATTTTAAAAAATTGTGTACAGAAGCTGGAAACAACCCAGGGAAACGTTGCCCTTTCCCTCCTCCGCCGCCACTTTGGAAAACACTGGGGGGTTCTTGGTTTGTTGTGGGGTTTCCCTCTAACACATTTTACCAGTTGTCCAGAAAATCAAACCCCGTCTTCAAGATGACATTGCTTGAGCTGATCTGCAGGACAAACAGAAACACAACGTAAGCAGGAGGGTTTTTTTTCCCTAGTTCTGCATAATCTAAAAACAGCATCTCATTTAAAATGACCCAAATGAACTAGCCTGCTTCCGTCTCAGAGGCGCCCTGACCTCAATTTGCCTCAGTGCTTGGAACAAGAAAATTAAATAAAATTCAATGTAAGCTACACTCTGTCAGATCCAACGCTCCCCTCTCTGACCCCAGACATGCCTGTGAGTAGCCTCTCGACCTACCTATACAGAAAAGTGTATCTTTTGTCTTTCTGAAAGACAGGCATGTTTAAATGTAGTCATCGAGGAATTATAACAACATATTACAAGTACAGTCTTTCTAATGTAACACAAACACACACAACTTGCAAAGTTGAGGGAATAAGAAGTACAGGGAAAGGACGTGAAGCTTCTTTCAGGTTACATGGAAGGTTCTGGAGGATCTTCCCTGAGCCAGGGACATTCTTCAGTTAAACGACACGGAGAGCTTAGACCATCTCAGGCTGCTGGAGTGTCAGACAGGTCCCAACAGGCTCCCGCCAGCCCCTCTTCTCTGGTCCAGCACAAGTGACGCTCTCTGGTGGCCTGCAGCCCTCCCGGGCAAGGACACTGACAGCCCACCCTCCACAGCCGACTCCACTCCGTACACCTTCCTGCGTCCCACAGGCGAGACTCCCACATGCTTTAGGCAAGTGCTGCCTTAGGAGAATCAGAGAAAGGCCACCGGCCAGGCAGGAGGCAAGCTGAGCCTGTCCGAGAAGGTGCTGAGGGCAGATTAGAGACACAAAGAGAAGACATGGGCGGGGACAGAGGCGGGCAAGGGAGGGCCCAAAGCCCTGGCTTAAGAAGGTGGGTAAACCTGGAGGAGGGCGGGCTGGACGGCGGGCGTGCAGCCGACGGGAGGTAGATGGAGCGCCCGTCACAGGGCCCCTTCTTCAGGACGACAATGACCCGGCCATCTGCTGAGAGGCATGGAAGCACCTGGAACCCCATTCAGGAGACACCCAGAGCGGGACCAGACAGAGTCCAGCAACAAAAAACACACCGATGAAAACTGGGCAAGGGGCTTGAATGGACAGTTCCTCAAAGAAGATATACAGACGGCCAGGAAGCACCAAGAAGATGCTCGGCATTACTGGCCCTCAGAGACGTGCAAGTCAAATCCACAATGAGACGGGCATCTTTAGGATGGTTGTTATCAAAACGGGAAAAGCAACACGTGTTGCGAGGACCTGGAGAAACTAGAGCTCTTGCTCGCGGGCATGTGAAACGGCGCAGCAGGATGGCTGCTGAACACAGGTCCACCATGCGCTCCATCAAGTCCTCTCCTGGGGACACACCCCAAGGGGCTGAAAGCAGAAACTCAGACATTTGCACACCCATGCTCATGATTCGCAACAGCCAAGAGGTGGAGACCCCCATGTCCCTCCTGGAGGCAGAGGCCACCCACCGAGGCAAGGCTACCCACCTGTGCAGGTGCGGGCTCTGAGAACAGCTCATCCTCGGCCAGCTCCCCATCCACAGGGCCGGCCTTGGGC